ATGTGTATATATATATATATATATATATATATATAAATAAAAAAGGACAGTCTGAAACTGTTTCTCTATGTCAAAATATTTTCTTTTTTTATTTTAGTGCATTTGATGTCTTTATCTGCTAAATGTTTGTCTTTATTCTTGCTCCTTGTGTTGTTGTTTTTATATATATTTAGTTTTCTTCCTGGTGCTTGTTGGATGTTCCTTGTATACTGCTGTGCAAGTGCCAATAAATAAATAAATAAATAATAATAAAAACCTATACAATATTGTGCCGCTCTCTACAGGTCATTATTAGTATTACAGCAGATCAACAGCTGAGAGAACATCATCTTGTGACCACAAACATTAAAAGTATCAGTAAAAATGAACAATGTGGCTTTCTGTAACGCTGCTTTGAAATAATCTGTATTGCGAAAAGTGTTAAATAAAACAGTTACAACATGTGAGAGACTTTAAAAGAGTCACAGGGTTTAGTTCAGTCGGTTGCATACGTGAAAACAAATGTGATTTCAAAGGTTTAACTATATTCTTACATCTTTTTAGTACTTGTATTGTTTATATATATATTTTTTTCTGTCTAAATGTGCACTTACATATATTAAATGCTACTAAATTGCCAGGTGTGTAAAGCCATCTTTTTGCCATCACCTGTAAAGCTATTTGACTGTGAATCTGAATCAGCATCACAGAACATACATCATGTACAGGTCTACAATTTAGATCAGCCTCAAGACTTTAATGCTTTTAAATATTTCTAAATATTTGAAGTTTAGTGATTCATCAGTCACAGCATTAAACTCTGAGCAAATCTCATGCATGGTTTAATTATTATATAGACTAATTTCACACTTTTAACACAAGCATAAACATTAGTTTTCTCTGTAATCTAGTTACACAGTTTTCACTGACGTGAATGATGCTGATCTAAGGTCAGTTACCGCAGTAAAGGCAGTCAGCAGACTTCACGCTGGGTAACTGATGTGAATGGCTGTGAGTGTGAGAGCTGAACCCGTGACGGTCATGAGAACTTCTCCAGAGCTTTGAGTCTGAATTACACACACAATCACAGCACATCACACAGATCAGGTAAGAGCTCATGCACTTCCACTAACACTCTTAAATTTAACTTAACTTTTAATAATTTAAATTGAAAATTTGATTTCATTTTAGGCTGTGTTTTTTTTTTCACATAGAGAGGCACTGAATGATTATACTGGTTAGCATTAATGCAGCATCATATTAGACGTTTATCAGATAGATTCATGTTATAAAATACAAGAAATGTAATTTGCAGCTGGAACAGTGACTAGTTTTTGAGTACATTTAAAAAAAACCTCTCAACATCCCCAGGTTATAATTTACCACAAAATAAAAAAAAATACAAAAATTTAAAAAGGCATTTTGCATTAAAAATAATTGTATTCGAATCTTTTTTTCATTATTTAACACATCAAATACAAATGTATTATTAAAAAGAATATTTAAATTGCATTATTTTTACATCATGGTAGTATTCGTTGTATTGCATTTAATTTATGCAGATTATCATTTAAAAAAAGGTGTATCAAGTTGTTTACTGTAGACCCTTACTACATTACAATAATAAGAATTAAAATGTAATTATCGATACTGTGCATTAATGGTACTAAAAGCATGCTTAATTTTCATGCAAAATATAATTTTCTATTTTTCTTTTGGATTCAGGGTGAAATTAAAATTGAATCACGACAATTAAAAAAAACAATGGTACTGAAAGCACGCTCAATTCTCATGCAAACCTTATTTCTATTATGAAATTAAAAATGTAATTATCATGACAATAATATGGCAATTACAATGTGTGTGTGTCAAATATATTAGTATTACTAAAAGCACACTATTATTGTGCAAAACAATTTCTTATTTTTCTATTTTGAATGGTATATGAAATTAGACCTATGGACATGTTTACAAAAGATTCACCTTTGTAGGCTATTTATAAATCCATCTCATACTACAGCTGAAATATACTGCTGTAAATCACTGTAGTTTGTCATATTCATTCACTAATGAGCTGTTGTTTTCAGGTGGTTTGTTCATCATGTCTTACGGCGGATCAGGTTCAGGTTCTGGAGGTGAATTCAGCGTTCATTTCTCCAGCAGACGTGGAGCAGGACTCATCAGAGCTGAAGAGTGTGTGAAGATACACTCAAACACTTTCAAACACCTGCAGCAAGCTACAAACTCTTCATCTCAACTCTGTGTTTGTACGCAGGGCCACAGGAATCGCTTCACTGGCCGTGATCCTCACAGCGCTGCTCATCCTGGGCTGCTGGTATTACCGTCGACGGGGCGGATACAAGATGATCCAGGTGAGTCAGTGACCCACGGGACGGTCAGGTGATCACAGTATTAGCCCAAGAGCATCAGAGCAGAGAAAAGTGCCAAAAACTGCATTCCTGTAGTACATCATGATACTTGCAACACCAAGGTCATGGGTTTGATTCCCAGTGAATGCATGATAATACACACATTAAATGCAATGCAAATCACTTTGCATAAATGCATCTGCCAAATGCATGAATGCAAATGTAAATAAACGCAGAAGTCGCATGTTTTAATCATCTGCTATACTTCTCGGTCAGGGTTCGCAGAGCTCCAGCTGTGATGATTGTGGGATTCGCTCATGTGGTCGTCATGTGACTTCTTACCTCTCATCTGTGTGTGTGTGTGTGTGTTCAGAGCGGGAGAAACAGCAGTCAGTCGTGGAGAGAGATAATGAGAGGAAACTTTAATAAATATAATATATCATCTATTAGCGCATATATATATATATATATCAGAAACATTAACTTCTATTATATATCTGACCCTGGAGCACAAAACCAGTCATAAGGGTCAATTTTTTGAAATTGAGATTTATGCATCATCTGCCCCTCTTTCTCTCTCTCTCTCTCTCTCTCTCTCTCTCTCTCACACACACACACACGGGTTTGATTATTAGTGATGGTATAGTTAAACTCACAGTCAGGGTGTTGTAAACGGTTGCCAGGGCATTGATATGCAGTTGCTAGGGTGTTCTGGATGATTGCTTAAAGAAACATACAGACACACATTAAGAAATGCTTTTTGTAGAATGTGCAAAAAGCAAACAGTATTAGACAGATATAACAAATTATAATATAATATTTATTATATATAATTATTTATATATTTAACACACACACACAGTAGACATTTAAAAAAATGCTTTTTGTAGAAAATAAAGTGCAATAAACAGTATTATATAATCTGCTGTTCTGATGAACAGACCAAAGGATCAGAAATATCTCAATCTTTCCGTCAAGATAATTCACTGAAATACTGCAAAACTATTAGTACTATCAGCCTGTAGAATTAAAAACTAAACCCAAGTCATCAAATTAAGTGCTATCACACTTGAACATCTCTTTGGACAAAAGCATCTGTTATACCTGTGCTACTTATGACTGCTTTTGTGCTGCAGGGTCACATATAAACATTTGTATTTGAAAATAATTTTATATATGCACTTGAAAGCTTTATTTTATTAGTCTTTTTATCCCATCCACAATGAATTAACCTAAGTTTTTTCTCTCTGCCACATTTGGTTTCAAAGAATGTTTAACCAAGCTCTTGTTACCCAGAATTCCACAGGGGGTAAAGCAAGCATGTGACCTGCTGCAGAGCAGAAAGGCTTTAGTTTGCAGCATTAGTCGTGATGTGAGGATTACAAACGACTGGAATGTGTGTGTGTGTGTGTGTGTGTGTGTGTGTGTGTGTGTATATATATATATGTGTGTGTGTGTTAATCTATATAAACATTTGTATTTGAAAATAATTTTATATATGCACTTGAAAACTTTATTTTATTAGTCTTTTTATCCCATCCACAATGAATTAACCTAAGTTTTTTCTCTCTGCCACATTTGGTTTCAAAGAATGTTTAACCAAGCTCTTGTTACCCAGAATTCCACAGGGGGTAAAGCAAGCATGTGACCTGCTGCAGAGCAGAAAGGCTTTAGTTTGCAGCATTAGTCGTGATGTGAGGATTACAAACGACTGGAATGTGTGTGTGTGTGTGTGTGTGTGTGTGTGTGTGTGTGTATATATATATATGTGTGTGTGTGTTAATCT